GCTTCTATACACACACACACACACACACACACACACACACACACACACACACACACACACACACACACACACACACATTTGGGGAGTGAGAGAGAATCCATTACTCCTGAGTTTGACTGTAAGAGAATAATTTAAGATGGGTTTTTTTCCCCCCCAACAAATTATTTTTTATTAGTTCAAATTAGAAACAAGCCTGCTTCACATGTCAATCTCTTCTCCCTCTCCCTCCCCTCCTCCCCCACTCCCTACCAGCCCCCCACCCAATCCCCCCTCTGTCCCAAGGGAGGGTGAGGCCCTCCATGGGGGATCCCCAAAGTCTGTTATATCATCCTGGGCAGGGCCTAGGCCCTCCCCCATGTGCCCAGGGTTAGAGCATCCCTCCACGTGTAATGGGCTCCCAAAGTCCTTTCTTATGCCAGGGATAAATATTGATCCACTGCCGGAGGCCCCATAGAGTGCTGAGGCCTCCACACAGATGGGTCATTTTTATAACATTAATTTTCAGAGACAAGTTTTTTTGTGAGACCACACACACAAATATATTTCTCCATCAATCTCCACAACAGAAAAGGAACTCTGCCTAGAGGAAAATGTGTGAGAACAGTCATTCAGCATTGCAATGTCACTGAATTAGATGCATTTTTGCTATGTATAGTGATATGAATCTGCGATGTGGTCCTTCCAAACAACTTATTCCAAACAGGTTTGCAGACGTTTCTTCCCAAGGAAAGAAATCTGCATCAAATCTTGGTGACTTGAGATACTGCAGTCCCATATGCATAAACACCAAGGCTCCTCAGGTACACTCTTGGTGTCCATCATGCTGCAGCTTCCGGACCAGCAGGAGATCTGGAACAAGAACAAAACAAAGCAAAGAGAATAACCATAGCAGTAAAGTCTATTTCCAGAGTGCTGGCCATAAATATAACCATCCATTCCTGCAGTTGTGTGGGGATCCTTTGTAGCAGGGTAAAGCACCTCTAAATACATGTAACACTAAAGAACTAGCCAGGGCCAAACCCAATAAAGACAATGTAACCTGACACCCAGATCCAACATGTAGCTAAAGGTAAGAGAGACACCATCACCTTTCTAACAACGAAGTATGAACCCAAGCTTTGCTCTTTACCTTTCTTGTCAACAAATCACTCATCCTGCGATGTTGCTTTAGCATAGCTCAGAGGAAGATTCAGACCAACAACTGGCCCCATGATGCTCAGCCATGATGTGATGTAGTTGACATTTCTAGGAAACATATGTAATATAAATTCTGTATCACAGTTTCTGATGGAGAACCAGAAAGTGGCCAAAAGGAAGAGAAACGAGGCCTTTCTAACCAAGATGTGGGCTTGCTTGGAATCCCAAAATCCTTATGGCAGCCACATGCTGTAAGTTGGGTCTGTGAGCCTGGAGTATATAATGATCTCCCACCAAGGTAGGTAGGCCAAGACAGAACTGGGGCCTCTGATTTCTCCTGATGGCCCAAGCTTTCATTTGAATTTAAGCAGTTATTGAGCTGGCTGAGTGCAGCAGGTAAAACAGTGGTGCTGAGGTAAAAATGCTTGTATTCAAGTCCCTGTCCTACCCCAAACTAGCTGTGTGACTTCAGCAGAGTCACCCAACTCCTCTGTGTTTTAGCCTTCTTGTCTGAAAACCGAGTAAAACAGTGGTATTTAGTTTTGGGATATAATAAAAGCCCAATGTGTTCATACATCTAAAACTCAGGACACTTAGCACACAGCCAAAATCAATGTGTTCTCCATTACTATTAGAAAGAATATTTCTTATTTTAGCCCAGCTTTTAGAGTCACATGAAAAGATTTATACTTTTAAACTCAGAGTAAAGTACAATGTGTCTTAAAGTTGTTTCTTACCTATTGATTTTCTGTGGATTTTTCAGCACAGCAGTCATGAATTCATTTGTCTTGCAGGGATGTAGAACAAAGAATGGTTGCCCAAGTATAGGATGTTCCTGTAACAATTCAAACTGTCACTGAACTACATTGAAAAGTTAAACAATTTGCTTCACTTTTTATTATTTAAAATGTGTATACCATTTCTCTCTCTTTCCCTCTTCCTCTGTGTGTGTACACATATTCACATTCGTGTTTGCACACAAGCACATGTGCACATGCACACATGCACACATGTGTTGATCTGAGGACAACTTTCAGGTGCTATTCATCTCCTGTTACCATTGGGATCTTGGGCCTGACCTCAGGTCATCAGGCTTGGTTGCAAGTGTTTTACCTATTGTGGTGGTTTTGTTAGACCCCTGGAAAACTCAGGCCTCCGGGGTCCCAGCCCAGGACCACAGTCACCCCAATCACCAGGCGGATTCGAAAGCTTGCTGCAAACTGCATGAGGCTTTATTGTTGTTTAACGAGCTAACCCCATGTTAGCTCGGGTCTTTTACCCACCCGCCATGGCGGATGGCTAGCAAAGACAGCTCGAACCGGCTGCAGAGAGAGATCTTGTAGGGCAGCATAAGGGGAGTGTCTAGGGGTACGCACAGGCTCAGGATTGGTGTGCCTCCAGGCTTGGAGGGCTTGCCCTGTGTTGACTGGCCAATTGGTTGTTATGGCCCATAGGCCCTCCCAGGGTGGTTGCTATGCTCTATGCATCATTGCTGTGCACTTGTCCATAAAGCACATCCAGAGCCGTAAAGCATAGCGCCACCAGCTAACTTCTGATTGGTTCCTTGCCACGAGGCAGGCATCTGACTTCTAGTGACTAGGACAAGGTCATGGCAAGCACGTGTTACTGTCATGGCTGCCAAAATGGGGAGCTGGTCCCTTCAGTTTGAATGAGAATGGGCCCCTTAGGGCCATATATTTGAATGTCTATCCATAAGAGAATGGCACTATTTGAGAAGGACTAGAAGGACTGGATTAGGAGGTATGGCCTTGTTGGAGGAAGTGTGCTACAAAGAGTGGACTTTAAAGTTTCAAAAGTTATGCAAGGCACAGGTTCTCTCTTGACCTATGGTTCATGATGGATTTCATCTACTGCATGCATGCCACCATGCTCACCACCATGGTGATAATGGACTAAACCTCTGAAACGGTAAGTAATTAAACTGTCCCCAATTAAATGCTTTATTTTGTAGGAGTTTCTGTGATCATGGTGTCTCTTCACAGCAATAGAACAATGACTAATACACCCACTAAGTCATATCACCAGCTCTGCTCTTTCAAGATAAACATCTACCTTAAATTCCATGTCACTGATTAACATTCAGTATTTCTACTTTGAAATACAAGTATAATCCAAACATGACAAAGGCTGTGAGAAGGAGCTATTCACTGATTTACTGTCAAACACAGTGGGGGCATACATGCCATTTACACACTATAAATTAGATAAATTTCTTTGGTTCTTTCTTGTTTAGCCAATGTTTCTCTTTGGCTTATAATTATTCCTTAATTTTTCTTCAGTGATGTACAGGGAGACCAGAAACTTGACAATCAGAACAAAGCATTTCTCTTACCTCTTTGTAGTAGTTAAGGGAAAAAAGTGATTTGCATATTTTAACTTAAATTTGGTTAGTGTGCTTATTGTTTCAGCATGCTATCTTCCTCCCAATATCAATTGGTACATGTTGTGTGAGCACAGCAAGGAGTGTGGCAGGGAATGGCCTACATCATTTCTTTCTCCTCTCTTCCCCTCTTCTTTGTCTCTCAAATGTACAGGGCTGTTTCTATAACCCAACATCCCCTATGATGCAATCCATTTCCTCTATAGGAAAATGGCTGGTTTTAAGCTGCAGATCATTCTGCTGATAATTTATAGACACAAATAATAGGGGGAGATCTTAGAGGGTTTCTATATGGTGAGTAACCCATGTACAAAGTCTATCAACACAAAACAATTATTGATGATGAGTTATTTACATTGTTATTACCAATTATATTGGTAATATATACCATAGATATTACCAACCCACGTAGCTATGGAGTCCATGCAGATGACTTTGAGGGAAAATTCTGGCTATATATATAAGGGCCATGAGAGCTGGAGAGGGCTGCAATTCCAGGCTGTACTTCCTACCCTGAACCAGACATTTGGGCCATATGAAAATGCAGGTCCCACATGCCAGCTCTTCTATTTGTCAAAATGACCTACAAAATCAGCTTATGTAAATGCTCTTAAATTTAAATGCTGACACAATGTCTTGAATCATGAAGCAGGCTAAATCAAACAGGCATGTAGCTGGATCCAGGTTAGGGGCTTCCCAGCAGCTTCTCTTGGTCATCCTACAGGTAAGCCAACCCAACCGCAGTTCCTGAGGAGCTTGATTTCTGCCTCTACTCTCTTCCCTAAGCACCTATATATATGATGCACTTGCTGCCCTTCCAGAGGACCCAAGTTTGATTCACCGTACCCATGTTAGGTGATTCACAACTGCCTGCAGCTCCAGCACCAGGGGATTTGATGCTTCTTCTGGCCTCTGCAGCCATCCCCACATGTGTGTCAGACACACGCAGATACACATAAATAAAGTAAAAAAACAAACAAAAATGCACTGGTGCTGAAACTGAGGGATTTATGTGTGGTGAGGGATGTAGCTGTGGTATGGACCTGGGATTTTTAGCACTACTTGGCCTCCCTAACTGCCATTTTAGACATCTCTGCTCACTACACTGTTTTTTTTTTTTTCTAGTTTTCTAATTTTTTATCGGTTCCTTTCCTACCCACATTTCCGTCCATTACTGGGCACTGGGGTCACAACTCAGATGCACTGTGCCTCTGGAAAGTCTCCTGTGCAACTTGATTCTGGATCCTTTATCTGTCTTAGGCTGGTATTTACTAATTCAACATGTATTAATAAGAGAAATCACTTTTCATGTATCTCCCAGGAATAGATCTAGTTATACTTTTGTAGACTAGCATATCTCTAGAGTAAGCAAAGTCTCTAGTCTCATGGAACTTGACTCAAAGGCAGGAGACAGCCAACAACACACAGAGACATAAGCCCAATGATGCAGATAATAGCAGGTGTTCTGAAGGAAATCTAACAGGGCCACATACTCCTAGAGGGCTCACGAGAATGAAGCACCAGCCACTGTACTGAGAACCTCTGGGAAGAGTCTCGAACTTTCACACTGAGTTTCCTGAAGGACTTACTGACTCACACAGAACAGTTTCATTACACAGTCGTGGACTTGCCTCTTAGAGGAGTATGGTCTACACTTTACAAGACCTCAAAAGAACAAGACCTCAGGAGATTCATAGACACAGTTCAGCTCAGGGAACCGTTTTCCCAGAGCAGGTGGAGGAACATGGGCACTACAGCTCTGCTGGCTGGCTGATGTGTTGTAAGGACTTGGGCTCTTTGCTATTTTTGCTCATTCCATACAGAGAATGGGTAAGAGTGCATACAAGCTCTGTTGTGAAGTCTCCTGCTCTACCACTGAGGAACTATGAGTCTTAGGAGAACCTCGATCATTTTCTGTCTCCTTCCTTATTGGATAGAATGATTGCAACTCTTCAATGACACAACATCACACATGTGCACAGAAGAATGCTTGACAGAGACTTCACACTTAGTTATTAATTAATTCATAGCTAAATATGCCATTCAGTCTTGCAGTGATAGTGAACGTTTTATACTAGACCTATATTCCTCATAGTACAGGTTTCATTGAAAGATTTTTACTATATGAGAATGAGACCCGGATTCAATACTCTATTCACACACACACACACACACACACACACACACACACACACACACACACACGCACACACACGCACACACGCACACACTCATGCACATGCATGAATACACAGGGACACTCTTGTAAATTTGCAGCATTAAAGAAATCATTGATTAGTATCTTAAGATTTAGGAATACTTGACAACTGATTACAACTACAAGAAATAAATGTCTGAGTTGACAAAAGATTTAGATATATAGGATAACTAGGATTATCAATATATTTTTTAAAATTATATTTTCATTTATTTAGTATGTAGGTTGATAAATGTGGGTAGGTCAGAGGACAAGCTGTAGGACGTGGCTATATCCTCCTACCATGTGGGCCCTGGGGTCTGAACTCAGGTTGTTAGGGTTGATTTACTTACTGAGCAATCTTACCTTTGGCTTTGGTTTTTTTGAGACCATATCTTAATATATGGTTCTGTCCAGCCTAGAAATTACTTTGTAGCCCAGGCTGGCCTCCAATTCATGGCAATCTTTTTGCCTCAGCCCACTGAGTGCTGGATTATAGATGTGAGACACCACACTCAGTTAAACTGAAAGCTTAGGCATTAAAAAAATGTGTTAGTAATCGTTCTGATTTCTTATATGTTGTTGAGTGTGGTGATACATGTGTCGAATCCCAGCATTTGGGAGGCAGAGGCAGGCAGATCTCTATGAGTTCAAGGCCAGCCTTGTCTACCCAGGGAGACCTTGTCTCAAAAAAAGGACAACAATTAATAAATGGAACCCATAAAACTAAACAGTTTCTATACAGTGAAGGACATCCTCATATGAGTGAAGAGACAGCACACAGAACAGGGAAAAATCTTTACCATCTATACATCTGACAAAGGGTTAGTATCTAGAATAAACAAAGAACCCCAAAAACTTAACATCAAAAAAATAAACAATCCAGTTACAAATGGGGTATGATGTAAAGACAGTTTTCAAAAGATGAAATACAAAATATCTGTGAAATATTTGAAAAAAAAATTCAAAATCTTTAGCCATTAGGAAAATGCAAATTAAAATTACTTTGAGGTTTCTTCTTACCTCAGTCAGAATGGCCAAGGTCAATAAAACAAATTTAGAGAAAGGGAAACACTTATTCACTACAGTTGGGAGAGGAAACTGGTACAACCACTATGGAAATCAGCACGGAGCTTCCTCAGAAAAATGAAAACAGATATACCATATGTTCTAGCTATTCCAGTCTTGAGCATATACCCAAAGTATTTTATATCCTGCTCATCCATGTTCATTGTTG